CTCACAGAGATCCACCTGCCTCTGCCTCTCAAGTGCTGGGACTAAAGGCGTGCGCCACCACCGCCCAGCCTTTTTTTCTTTTTTTCTTAAGTGAATTATGAATTAGTCACTGTTCCATTGCTATGAAGAAAGACCATGACCAAGGCATCTCTTATAAAAGAAAGGATTTAATTGAGGCTTGCTTACAGTTTCAGACATTTGGTCCATTATCATCATAGTGGGGAGCATGGTGGCAGGCAGGAAGACATGGTGTTGGAGAAGTAGCTGAAACCTAAGTCCTGATCTGATGGCTGAGAGACACTGGGCTTGGCTTGGGCTTTTGAAACCTCAAAGCCCACCAATGACACACTTCCTCCAACAAGGCACACCTCCTAGACCTTCTCAAGTAGTGCCATTCCTGGATGACTAAGCATTCAAATATAGGAGCCTATGGGGGCATTTTGTTAAATCCTGACAGTATTTTGGATGATAGTAAGAGTGAATACTTAAAATATATTAACTTAAAAGAAAAGATGGCCTCATCTATTTATTTACTTATTTATATATTTATTTATTCATTCATTCGTTTATTTATTATTATGTGTATGTGTGTTGTGACTGTATGTATGCATGTATGTCAACCACATATATGCCTGGTGCCCATGGAGGCCAGATCTCCAGAAACTGGAATTAGAGATGTCTGTGAGCCACCATGTTGGTTCTGGGAACTGAACCCAGGTCCTCTGTAAGAGTAACAAGTGCTTTTAACTGCTGAGACATCTATCCAGATCCAATATGACTAACTAAATTCATAAAATAATGCAGGAAAGGGGGAGCAAAGTATTGCCTCCACTTACAGGTTAGGAAATGGAAGCACAAAGAGGCTGTGAGTTTTTCTCAGGACCAGCTGGGGAGCAAAGTATTGCCTCCACTTACAGGTTAGGAAATGGAAGCACAAAGAGGCTGTGAGTTTTTCTCAGGACCAGCTGGGGAGCTTGTGGCAGAATTGGGATTCAGAGTTGGCAGCTTTGCTCCATAATCTGATCTTGCACAGTGATGATCATGACTCTAACTTTATAATTACAGAGCGTGAAACATCAGTAAGTTAGAAACCTGAAGAGCAAAAGCAGTGTGTTTTTCCAACTAAAACGGACTACTTGTTAGAGTCAGACAAGCTTTTTACTTAAGTCAGCTTTATCAGGCTTTCTTCTATGGGAACAAAGGGTGAGTTAATTCTTTGCCCATTAAAGCCAGGTGGTGGCCCACGCCTTTAATCCCAGCACTAGGGAGGCAGAGGCAGGAGGATCTCTGTGAGTTTGAGGCCAGCCTGGTCTCCAGAGTGAGTGCCAGGACAGGCTCCAAAGCTACACAGAGAAACCCTGTCTTGAATAAAAAAAAAAAAGATACCTGAGTGGAGTATACTTGGTTCCTCTAAAACCACCAGGAATGATTATAGTATAGAACAGTGGTTCTCAGCCTTCCTAATGCTGCAACATTTTAATACAGGTCCTCATGTTGTAGTGTCTCCCAACCATAAAATTGTTTTATTGCTACTTTATAACTGTAATTTTACTACCATTATGAATGGTAATGTATCTTGATATGTGACCCTCCTGGGGTTGCCACCCACAGGTTGAGAGCCACTGGTATAAATGATTCCTCTTCATGTGGAAGCTTGAGAAGGAAGTGAGTATATCTTCCTAGTCATGCTGTCATTAGCTACAGCTATAGAAAGACAACTGTACTAGACCCAGTTACACTTACAAAAAGACCATACTATACGTATGATTACCAGTTGTGTCAACTGTATCAAAATAAAGTTATGATTATAAATGTAATAACCATTACTCTAAAGATATTTTCGGTTTGGTCTGTTAAGTAAATTTAGCTAGGGAAACTGGAAGCAAATTTTAATTGTTGTGTATGTTTCCCTTCTCATCCTTGTAGGTAATGTTGGTGGATGGATTTAAAGGACAGAAGATCCAAAACGTAAAGAAGACTATTCAGAAAAACATGGTTGATGCTGTATGTGTAGCCTGTCCTCTGGGGGCAGTTTGGGAAGAGCAGTTAACTAATAGATCTAAGAGTATTATTAGCAATGAATTTCATAGTAGAACCTAGCACTGTATAAAAAAAGATAGTTTTATGGCAGGAAACAGGCCTATTTGCAGTCCATTTAACTCACATCTCCTGTAATAAGGATGCGGTTGTGCCCTAAGGCTGACATGTGCCCCATGTGGTAGTATGTTCTTGTAGTGTTTAGGAGGTAGAGGCAGGGAGATCTCAACTTCATGGCTAGCCTGGTCTATGCCGACCATGTCTCAACATACCCCTTCCCCTACAGCAAGAAGAAAAAAGCAAACCCAAACAAAACCAAAGTTGATATGCAGAACACAAACAGAGAACTCTGGCAATGTCTCTGACAGTGACCATGTTAGAGGCATCCTTTTTCTGTGCTGCTTTGCTTTTTAACTCTGAAATTTTATTTACTTTATTTTAATTTTTAAAATTTTTTGTTGTTGTTGTTTTTCGAGACAGGGTTTCTGTGTATTGTTTTGGAGCCAGTTCTGGAACTTGCTCGGTAGACCAGGCTGGCCCCGGAGATCCGTCTGCCTCTGCCTCCCAAGTGCTGGAATTAAAGGTGTGCACCACCAACGCCCGGCCTGTATTTTCTTAAACTCCTTATTCCTCCTTTGATAGAACTATGTTTAACTACATACCTCTTAAAGTTTTGATTTTAACAATCATACTGACCGGAGATAGAGACAGTAGTCTTTTTTTTTTTTGAGACAGGGTTTCTCTGTGTAACAGTAGCTCTTGCTGTTGTCCTGTAACTCACGCTGTAAACCAGGCTAGCCTTGAACTCACAGACTTGCCTGCCTTTGCCTCCCTAGTGCTGGAATTAAAGGTGTGCACCACTGCCACCTGGCTGACAGTGGTCTTTATGTTTACTAAATTCAAAAAAGCAAAGCCGAGCGTGTTGCTTCATATATGTAACCAGGAGGCAGAGGCTTGAGAAACATGAGTGCACTACTAGCCTAGATGCTGGCCAAAACGAAACAGGCTGGGAGAAGACTGTTCTAGCCCTGGAACATATATTTGCTTGCGTGATGGTGTATGGGGATGTGGAAACAGGCAGACAGACCCCTGGGGTTCACTTCAGTAGCCTGCTTAATGAATTCCAGGCCAGTGAGAGAGACCCTGTCTCAAAAGGAGGAAAAAAGATAGATGGCACCTAAAGAATGATATCTGGCTTTTACATGTACACAAGCATACACATACACACACATGCACGCAATAGCAATAGAAAGCAGCCATTTACTCTGTCCTTTCACATTCTTTTAATCTCTGTTTGGAGAGGACAGCTTTCAACTATGTTGCTTACTTTAATACTGATCTCCATCTGTCATACCTCTGTGTTTCTGTCTCTATCTCTGATTCTCTGTCTCATGTTTTTTTTTTTTTTTCTCTGAGTCCTGGTCTCACTTTGTAGTCTAGGCTGGCCATGAACTTGTGGCAACCCTCCTGCTGCTCCCAAGTGCTGGGATTACAGATGTGAACCATTATGCCCACCTTTCATAGTTTTCTAGATGTTTATAATGTAAGTTTGTTGCTGGGTTTCCTAGCGTAGCCCAGACGGCCATTGAAACCATCATCTTTTCACTCCTGCTTCCTACAGTTGGGATTATAGCTCTGTTACCAGACCTGCTGCAGTATAGTTTTTATTTTGATGTTTTGTTAGGCTTAGTCATCA